CCTTGGAGCCTGTGAGGACAGAAGCAGCATGACGTGGGGCTGGGGAGGCAGGAAGTGTGGTCCTGGGGGTCAGCCTCAGCACCTGGGCCCTCTGGCTTTAGCTGTGTGCTCTGGGGGATATGGACGAACCTCTCTGTAAAATGGGCATCTAATAGCTCTCACCCCTCCCAGGCTGTTCTAAGGTTGTACAGTGATACCATGTCTATCAGCACTCAGCACGGGGCCCAGGGAAACAAGTCAATTCTCCAGCAAAGAATGACCCTAGCAGCCCTCTGCAAAGTCTAGGGCAGCGAGGTGATCCCTGCAGGGAGACCGGCCATGGTTCCAAACCTCACTCTGGAACATACCAGGTGTGTGATGTCAGGTAAACCACATATCTTCTCTTATAAAGCACCCTGCCACCAGCCAAGCCCTGGGCTCCACACGTTTTGGCATTGACCCATTTAATTCATGTGACAGGACTACAAAGTGGGTACTGTCATTAGCTCCATTTTATGGAAGAGGAAAACTGAGGCTCAGAGAGGCCAAGCCAGGAGGCTGACTCTTGTCCACGGCACTTCCTTCCTCTTCAGGTTACTGTATGAATCCAATTAGAGCAAAGGGCACAACAGAGGTACAAGTGCTCTTGAAAACGTCAAAGGCTAAACCAACATTAGTGGTGGTTGTTATGGTGTAAAAGTTCAAAACCCTGAGTCCAATTATAAGGTCTGAAATCTCCCCACAGGGACTGATACTGGTTTTTAAAAATAAGATCGGTATTTCCAAAATAAGTTAAGGAAGCCAGGCGCACTGGGAGGAGAACATCATTTTAATGAAAAAAAAACTGATTAATGGAAATGATTCTTAATATATTTCAAGATGATCTGTTATGACACAAAGCAAAGACATTTATATACAACTTTGAAATTCTTAATAGCTGATTTTAGGGCAATCTATTATGAAATCTTCCAAAGCAGAATATATAGTAAGTAAATCATCAGGCAGGCCTCCCAGGCAGACTGACGGCAGCTCCTCTTAAAGTAATTTATAAGGTGGGTTGGGGGAAGGCTGGGAGAAATTATTGCCATAATCATGTATTAGTAAAATATTTATAAACGTGACTTTCTCTTTCATCGTTACAGGCAGCTACAGGTATGGGTCCTGTTCCCACATCAGAGGAGGTCCCCCACATGCCCCAGGTGGAGAAACTCAGGCATCAAACCTCCCTGGTGACGGGTCAATAGGCCAGAGGCTCCCTTAACCTCGGTTTTGCCACATCAGAGGCAGAGAGTGTTCAAGTGTGACCTTGGAGATCAGAAGGCACACCCCCTAAAAACTCATCTTGCACTCTTCCTAGACTTTGCCGAGTCCTGGGGGAAGTAAGCCTATCTGAGTCAAGGACAGCCGAAAGGCACATGGCTGTGACACCTGGTGAGAGTCACCTAACCCAAGCATAACAACACAATCTACCAAAGCACTGCCTCGAGCAAGCACTGACGACCTGTTCGCCTCCCCTCGCCCTGGCCACCCCATACGTGCCACCTCATCCGTGTCCCTGGCCTGTCAGTGCAGGTATCTGTCTACACCCTATGCTTTCCTGGCTGCAGGAACACGCTCAGCTCAAGCGTGGGGCAGGGTGGAAGGGCAGGAGGTAACGCTCCCCAAAAGCAACCTTCAACTGGGGGAAGCAGGAGGTGGTACAGCAACATTCCAGCTCCCTGGCCCCTTGGATGATGTGCAACTAGAGGCATGTTCTTCAGGGTCTCCCAGAGGTCCCCCCGTGAGACTGGCCCCCCACTTCCCAGAGCTGATCTACTCATTACGGCGTCCAGCATCACCTGCCCTCCCTTCCCTGCCTCGCCCCTCGCCCTTCTACTGGCTCCTCCTGATATCCTCTCCCAAGAAAGCTATGTGCTTCCAAATCCACTTTGGGGGAAACTTGCTTAACTCAGCTCTCTCTTCCTTATTCCATTTAATCCTCACAGCAACCCCATTCTCAGCCTGCTGGAAGAGGAGGCCTCTGAGGCTCAGGGAATTTTGGTTTTGAACTAGTATCTGCCTCTTTCAAGAGCCCACACCCTGTAGTTTAGTGCACTCAGACCTTCTGAACCTCCACTTTCCATTCTGTAAAATAGGTTTGCTTTCTTCCACACATCCTCAACCTATACATGCCTGTGCCCCAACTCTGAACCTTCAACAGCTATTCTGGTCTGAACTGTGCAATTACACCCCCAATCCCAGTGTTTACAAAACTGGCTGATGGTCACAGATGAGAAGTCTCATCTCTCCAAATGAGACGATAAGCTCACAAGGAGGGGGCCCTATCTTCATAGCTTCTCCTATCCCTCTCCCTCCGCCAGGTCTAGACACAAAGTGGATATGGATTTAACTCAGGGGCCGGGATGTGTTTTGGGCTGAATTATGTACCTCCCAAAATGTGTATGTTTATGTGCTAACCCTCTGTACCTCAGACTGTGACTATTTGGTGACTAAGCCTTTAAAGAGGTGACTGACGTAAAATGAGCTCACGTGGCTGGGCCCTATTCCCACCTGACTGGTGTTCTCACCCAGAAGAAGAGATCAGGACACAGACAACACACAAGTGGAGGGATGATCATGTGAGGACACAGTAAGAAGGCGGCCGTCTGCAAGCCAGGGAGAGGCCTCCAGAGAAACCAACCCTGCTGGCACCTCATCCTAAGCTTCCAGCCTCCACAACTATGAGAAAACAAATTCCTGTTGTTGAAGCCACCCAGTCTTTGGGAACTTGTTACAACAGCCTTAGGAAACTAATACACCCCCTGAAATCCACACGTAAAACTCTTGATGGGTGGGGGGTGCGTGGACCCTGGACTAAGATCTGGCCCAACTCCAGAATTTCACAGCTGACAAAAGTGAGACCAGAGAGAGAGGTGACTTGCTCCAGGTCACACAGCAAGTTAGGGATAGAGATGAATTCCTGACACCCTCACTCTGGACAGCTAGGTCCCAGGAGGATTTTTTTTTTCCAGAACACAACCAAACAGGCAGTTCAGAGGCACAAAGACCCTCAAATGCTGAGATCTTCAATACTGCTCATCAGGGTTCAGTCGACTTCTCCTGCAAAGGGCCATATAGAAATTACTTCAGGCTTTGCAGGCTGTCTCAGCTACTCAATTCTGCCACCATAGCAGGAATGCAGCCACAGACACATAGGTGAATGAGGGTGGGTGTGTTCCAATAAAACTTTAATTATGGACAGTATAATTTGAATATTGTGTAATTTTCACACGTCTCCAAACATCCTTATGTAATTTTTTTAATCTAACTGAAACATAAAAGCAATTATTTGTGGGCTGTACGAAAGCAGGCAGCAGGCTCAATGTAGCCCATGAGCTGCTGACCCCTGGTGTAGACTAAGCCAGATGCAGAGGTGGGGATTTCTGACTGCGGACTAGAGCTTTGCAGGAAGAGAAATGCTCCCCAGGCTGAGACGGAACTAGTTCTCATAGCCTGGGGTGCATGACTCAGACTGGTCTCAGTGGCCAGGAGGCTGGAGCGAGAGATGCTGCAGTCCCAGGAAGAAGACAGTAGTGGTGCCCAAAAGCCAGGGCATGACCATGCCTCATGGCTGATTTTTGGAAAAGGCAAGTGGTGTTTGTTTTATCCATGTCTGCCCAGTTCAGCACGTCCACCCTTGGCTTGAACCCACTGTGGAACTCCTATCTTGCCTATTTCTGATCAGTATAATTCCTAGAAATTTCTAAAATCAAATCAGTGGGCCAACACATGTTGTCTCAAATGTATGAAAATCAGAGGATCAGGCCACGAGGCCCACAGGTACTGGAATGGCAGGAACAACATGCCAGCATCTTCCAGAGAAGTCTGCTTCCCCAAAGAGGAACAGCCCAGAACGACAGTAGAGTCAACATACAGTCCCAGAGGACAGACCTCAATGCATACATATGTCCCATCAACAGATAAATCCCGATTCTCTGTTCTTCCCAAAGGAAGCCACTCTCTACAGGAAAGGTCTGGACAAGGACACAATCACAATACACGGCACCATAAGCCCCACGAAGGCAGGAGTCACATTGTTCCTGATATTTACTGTCTCCCTGGGACCTTTCCCAGAGCCGTGAGAGATGGCAGAAGGGACTGGTTAGGGAAGTGAGGAGCCCTGAATGCCAAGCCAAGGAATTTAACTTGATTAAGCAGGCACAGGAGAGCGTGGGGAGGATTCTCTTCAGGGAACGGCACAGTTGGTCTATGTTTTAGAAAGGACCTTGATGGTTACAATAAGGGAGGAGGGAAGGCATTGAGGCTACTACAATCGTCCAAGCCAAATAAAAAAAAAAAAAAGGACTAGCAAAAACCCAGTCTAAAAAGACAGAGTAAGAACAGACAAGTCAGGACAGAAATTATCCACAGTGCACGGTGAATGACTGCAGAGTCGGGGATGAGGGTGAAACAGATGATTAGAACCACTCGGGGAGACCAACTCGAAGTAGGGACAATCAGCAGACAGTTAAGGCGAGGGAGCCAATGTGGGAGAAGGGCAGCTGGGTGAGCTACACACACAGTAGGGAGCATCGCCAAGATGTCTAGATAGAAAACATCACCTTTACTGCATGGACCCAGTCTTCTCTCACATGTTCTAGGGCATCTCCTCTTCCACTAGCTCCATGTAGCTATTTAAATGTATGTTAATTAGAATGTAATGCAATTAAAAATCCTATTCCTCAGTCGTACTAGCTACATGTCAGATGCCCAAAAAACATGTGCAGCTAGTGGCTACTGTCCTGGATAGCACAGATGGAGAACCTCTCCATCATCACAGGAAGTTCTTCTGGACAGCGCTGGTCTACAAGGTTCGCTTGAGAAAATCCAGCCCCGCTTCCTTCTCAGCACGCCTGGCTCAGGCAGCCTCCCAGAGAGCCAGTCCCAGAGACGCAGAAGACAACAGACTGACCCGGTCCCCTTCAGACACCTGCCAGTGAAGACAGCTGGCAGCCCAGGTGAGCTTGGCGGGAAGGACGTACCTTTGCAGGCCCCCGCCGCGCCCAGGTGGTAGATGGCTGCGAGCACTCGCCAAATGGCTCTCTGCTCGCTCTTCAAAATGCCCAGCGTCTCCATGGCGCCCTGGAGCTGGGCAAAGGCGGCCGCAGCCCTCTGCTTGTCTTCAGACTGTAAGCAAAGGGAGAGAGGAATACAACAGGTCATCACCAGGAGGAAATGCGCGCTCCCAACTCAAAGCAGGGCTCGGTCTCAGGGGAGCGCATGGTCATTTTATGACCACAGGAAATTACCCACGATTAGGCTGGGGAGTACTGACATACCGAACTCAGACTGCTGGGAAAGTTATAAAAATCATTTCTATCTAAATGTAGAATGTGGTGTGATTTTTACTCAGTCATGTGTTCATTCAACAGATTTATTAAGGCTCTGCACCGTGCTGGACTCTGGGGAGGAAGAGATGAGTGAAACCCAGAACTTGACTTTGAGGACCTCTCAAGGTGGAAGTGGAAAGAGACGTAAAAAGACAATGAAGTGTGAAACCAGCTACGTAGTAGGACGTGGGTGTGCGTGAGGGACTAGGATCTTAGAGGAGGACCTGACTGATTAACCCCACCTAAGAGAGTCAAAGAGCGTGTCGTAGATGATGAGACAAAACTGTGATTGCAGCTGAAGGACAGACAGGCAGAAGTGACCACGTTAATGGAATGAAGGCCTGCCAGGTAGAGGGAACAATGGGAAGAGACGAGATCTCTGGAGACAAGAGGTGGTCAACTAAAAGTGGACAGAGACACAGGTATTTTTGAAGGTGGGGCAGACAGGGGAGGGGAGGAGACGAGCATGAGAAGCTGGCCGGTGCCCACGGGGAAAGCTTCAAACACGGTAAAGGGCATAGGCTGAAAACTCCAGCCATGATCAACAAACACACATTCCTATTTACACTCCTGGACCTGTGGCAGACATCATCAATTGATCAAGATTGCACAGCAAGCTGATGAGTCCAGATTCTCTTCAGGATGTCACTCCTTGCATCTACCACCAACCAATCTGCCTCGGCAACTGAAACAGGACAGGTCTGCCATCCCCAGGGCAAGTGGCAGGTAAATGCCAAAGATTTTTAAGCAGGAGGAAAGAGAAAATGATAGATCAGATGTTCAGGGGCTGCAGGTTGCTTTTTCTTTTTCAGATTTATGATCCAATTATGTTTGACTGAATATTAAAATCAGTCTGAAACTCCTGCACACACACCATCTGGCCAAGGAGACTCAACCCAGAAGCCTGCGGTTGAGAGGAAGTGAGTTGGAGGTAAGGATTCTTTTGTTAATAATCCTTTAGTAGATAATGAGGAACTGATCTGCACTTGGCCTGTTTACAGGGCCTGGGTGATGAACTGTTAAGCTGTCAAGGCTGGCAGGTCCTTGAATTTAATGGAGTCTGATGCTCAGAGAGGGGATGACACTGGCCCAAGGTCACAAAGCAAATTCATATCAGAACAGGATTACAATGAGGCTTTTCCGACTCCGGGTCCAGGCCACTTGCCCCTTCCACTCAGCCACTTCTTCTAACTTGGGAAGAAACCTACAAGGATTATCGACCAATTGGGACGACATCAAAACACACAGTGACATTGAGAGATTTGCTGTGGAAACATTTCAATTAATAGCAAAGGCATGTTCCACTGATCCATCATATTTCTGGGCCACCACAGGACCACAAAATCCCTAGCAACCAGGAGCTCAACCTAGCAACCGCAGCTGCTCCTCTGGAGCAAATGGAGGAAAGAAAGGCATCTCACCAACCCGCTCTTGGTTATTTATGAGATCTCAAAGCAGCAGAGAAAGGACACCAAAAGGACAGTGGCAACACATTTATTATGGCTTCCACTGTCAGCCACAAGCATTTGACTTTAAATTACAGGCAGACTCCATCATCTGCCACTTAGCTCATATGAGGAGAATTAGAAAACTTCCACTAAAGCTTATTTGCTTCTCTCTCCTCTCCACCTCCCTCAGTCTCTGCTGCAACAGAAGACACAGAGGGCTGAATATATATGCTTCTGAGCAAAAACAATTAGGATCAGGAGGATGTTTACAGTTCCCTACACTTCTAAGGAGCCAGACACCTCTGCATAATAATGCCCTGATGAAAGCCAGTCCTTGCCTCAAAATTGCAAAAATAGGAATCAGTCAGATTAGAGGATTAAATAAACTCACAGTGTAAATGTCTACCAACAGGAGGATGGATGAACAGTGGGTGGTCCAGCCAGGGCACAGGGACAGAATACTATGCGGCGATGAAAAAGAACACACCACTGACCATGAGGCCATGTGTATGAATCCCAAAGACCCCATGTGAGTCAGAGGAGCCACATATAAAACACCATGCACCATGTGGTTCTGTTTATGTGAGGTTCAAACATAGGCAAAACTACCCTATGGGGAGAGAAGTCAGGATGGTAACTCTAGGGTGGGAGGGATACCTCTGATGGGGTGGGGGCTCGAAGGAGCCTTTGTTGGAATGAAGAAGGTTCTAGGTGTTGATCTGGGGTGGGGTCACAGGTGTGTTTAAGAATATAATCATCACTGAGCTGTATACTTAAAATCAGTGCATTCTGTACACTTGACTGTACATCTTCCTCAATTTAAAAAAAAATTAGTGAAAAAAAAAAAGTCGACTTGGAAGATGCCCAGGATTTGTCTGATGCAATCAAAGTCTTAAGGTCAACCAAATGTGGCTGGTAACTTAGCGAAAAAAATAAAATCCAAAATGTTCTCTCTACATGAGAGCCGGCTGTGCATAGAGAACCCTGGAGTCTGACAGGGCAGAGAGGCCAGGTTTGCATCTGGAGTCAGACCGATCCTAGCAGCATGACTGCACACATCTCCTGTCCTCACACTGGAGGCTCAGTTTCCACTTCTGTGAATGGAAGTAGCAGCCAACCCTACTCTTAGGGCCACTGTGAGGATGAAAGGAGTGGACGCTGTAAAGCACCAGCACAACGCCCAGCACACAGTGGTGCTCAGTGAATGTGGGGCTTGACCCCCATGCCTTTACCCAGGCTGTCCGGCCTTCCAGGGACACCTTTCCCCGCTGCAAGCCAAGTTCACACCCAGCAGTCCCTGGCAAGTGAATCAGGTGCAGCCTGTCCTCGAAGGGCCCCCAGTCCAAGGAGGGGGACAGACACTGACAGCACAGAATGAGTGCAGGGCCCAGGGGCTCTGGGGAGGGGCAAGGAGCCTACTTCCAGGAAGAAGCAGTGGATGAAGCAAACAGAATGAGCGAGGAGAAGTGGGTGCTGGGAGGCAGAAAAGGTCTCCAAGCAGAAGGGCGTAGGAGCACTAGGGGCGGAGAACCCCGAGGATGGTCGTGCAGTCCTCTCTCACAGAGCCAAGGGCGGGGGGAGCCATGGTCGGCACTGGGAGCTCCACTCTGGTGGAGAGCAAGGCCCTGGTCCTGGGCCTTCTGCCCCCTGGTTATAAGCACAAAGCAGGGCCCAGACCCCACGGGCTGAGGGGATGTGAACACGCCCCTCTCCTCCCGGGTTGGGAGGGGGGGGGAGGCTCCCCTGTGTCTGTACAACTAAGATTCCCACCCTTCCGCCCCCTGGACCTGGAGCCGCCTCTGGGAGGAAAATGCTGCACACTGACTCAATTCATTTGCAAAACAAAACGGTGCCTGCACAGGCGGGTGAACGTCCTAGAGACCGTGAGGAGGGCAGGACAGGCGTCCATCCAGAGCCAGGAGTTCCCTTTATCTCAGCACTGACTAGTCCATGTCCTGTCTGGGCACTGGAAGTCCACTTAGGGAGGGAGGAGGGAAAGCATTAACTGAGTACCACTGTGTGGTCCTGGGTGCTTTTAACCCTGGAAAGCGGGTACGCCTCTCTCCAATCATCAGAGGAAACAGGCCCCAGAGGGTAAGGCCCTGGCCCAAGGCCACCTAGTCAGGGAGGGGCAGAGTCACTATCAGCAAGATATCCTGAGCCCCCCACCCTCCGAGCACACTGATGAGCTGGCTGTTGCTCTACCCATTCCACGGGTGGAAAAACAGAAGCTGAGAGATGGTTGAGTGACCCAAGGATGCACAGTGGGCTACACCCAGAGCATAAGGTCTTCAGCCAGGGCACAGGCCTGAGATGAGAGCCTGGGACAAACACGAGTGCCGATTTGGAGCCAGGCCGACCTGGAATCCAGTCCTGCCTCTGCCACTTAAAAGTTGTGCACCCTTAGGCAAGTAGCTTCACCTCCCTGAGCCTGGTTACTTCTCCTGAGAAATAGATGTGATCATAATCCCCTCCCTCAAAGGGTTCGTAGGAGACCTGAGTAAGAGAAATCTCCTGGCAGAGCCCTGGAGGAGCACGTGACCTCCCACCCTGGAGGAATTGCAGCCCATTCCTCCACAGTTGATGCCTGGGTTGTTAAAAAATGGATGTGCCTCGGCCAAATCCTGGCTGGTGACAACTTCTGGGTGACCAGGACTATTATTATTATGACCACTGCTGCTGGCACTTTTTCAAAAAAATCAGGGTAGGTTGCAAAAAACTAACTATAGAAAAGAAGAAAGTTATACGAAAGCTTTGTGATTTCAAATGTGCCCTGGTGCCCTGGCAGAGTTCAAATAAGTTCTATTTAAAAGCTGAAATGTGCAGGGACTGGGAGGGGGACCTGGCAGTCAGCCACTGCCCTGAGGTGGTGGCTCCCCACTGAACCCCTGCTCCAACGACAGCCCCACACCCCACAGCCTCACCTGTGCTCTACGGCCTCTGCACCTGATTGCTGTCCTCCTGCTGCCACCTTTGCATCAGGGGCTCCGTGTCACAGGAACGCTGGCCTCCCTGCACCTGTCTAACTTCACTCTCAGTCCAAGGCCAGCTTGTACTCACTTTCTCCAGGCAGCCTTCTCTGATTAAACGTCAACTGTCCAGGCCTGCCCATGCAATACCTGAGACATACTTAAGTCAAAAAGTATTCGACGTTTATCAGCAAGTTGAATTTAACCAGGAATCCTATATTTTTTTCCAATTTTACTGAGTTACAATTGACAAATAAAAACTGTCTATTTTTAGGTGTACAGTGTGAGGATTTGATATATGTATACATTGTGAAGTGACTACCGCAATGAAATTAATTAATACATCCATCACCTCACATAGTTACCATTTCTTGGTGTGTGGTGAGAACACTTAGGATCTACTCTCCTAGGAAATTTCAAGCATACAACAAGCACAGCATTATTAACAATAGTCACCATGCTGTTTGTTAGATCAGTTACAAGATGAGTAAGTTCTAGGCAACCTTTATTTTTATTTCCTGAATCCAGCAACTTTGGGAGCTTGTGTTTAGCAAGTCTCATCCTCGGGGGGGGGGCATTTCCTGACCACCAAATCCTCTTACTGACACTGTAAGTGAACTGCCCAATCCCCGAAAACTAGCCAGGCAGTTATCAAAGACCAACGAGTATTCAGATTTTATGTTTATTTCCAGAGAACAAAGAAAACACCCTCTTCACACCTGCCAGGTACCAGGGAGAGAACAAAGAAATACCCTACCATTGCCCACAATCAACTGGTCTAAAAAAAAACACTCCGCAGAAACACAGGGGAAAAAAAGAAACCACTTCAAACGCCTCCTTGATGTGGAGTCACGCTGTGCCTCCTTCCTGTGGGCAGACTGCGAACAAATAGGTCGGGCTGGGGAGGTGCACAAGGGCCTGGCTTGAGACCCTCTTCCTCCTCAAAACCAAGAAAACCACCAACCACTCTCTTGCTAATTAAAATGGATACATTCAGCCCAAACTCATTAAAGAAAACCCAGCACTGGGATAGGCTCTCCTCTGCCATCAGGGCGGAAGTCTGGGCTCCGAACGGCTCCCAATCAGGGGAGAAAAGACACAAAAGAACAGATGGCAGGTTCTCCCCAACCAAGTGGGGTGGCCAGATGGTGAAGGTAGGGGAGCCGCATGACTCCACCCCATCCCCTCCATCCACTGTGGAAACACTCTCCTACAGGGGTTCTCAAAGCGGGGTCCCTGGAGCCGCAGCTTCAGCATCACCTGGGGACTTAAAAGAAATGCAGTTTCTCAGGCCTGCCCCAGACCTACTGAATCAGTACCTCTGTGGATAGCACTGAGCAGTGTGTGCGCGCGCGCGCATATGCGCACCTGCCTGTGTGTGACAGCCTTACTGAGGTGTGACTGACAAACAGAAACCACTCACCTTTAACACGCACGTGATAAGCATCATTACTAAAGACAATGGACATCTATCACCCGGGGAGTACCCTTTTACAATCCTTTCTCCCCTCCTCCTGTCCCCACCCAAGCCCTAGGTAACCGCTGACCTGTTCACTGTCACGGCAGATTCGTTTGTGTTTTCTAGAGTTTCACGTACGTGGGATCATAGGGTTGCACTCTTTCATTTGAGATTTTTCACTCAGCAGAATTATTTTGGGAACCTTTCTGTTCTTGGATATATCAGTAGCACATTTTTATGACTGAGTCGGGTACTATCTTTATGAATATCCCACAACAAATTCATCTATTCACCTGTTAATAGACATTCGGGTAGTTTCCAAGTTTTGGCTATTACAAATAAAACTGCTAACAAACTTTCATGTGAAAATTTTTGCATGGATGTACACTTCCATTCTCTTGCGTAAATATCTAGGAGCAGGCTAGTGTGTCATATGGGAGGTGAATGTTTAACTTTTTAAGAGACGGTTTTCCAAAATGATATATTATTTTACATGCCCACTAGCCACTGCATGAGAGTTCGTTACCCCAAATTCTCACCAGCAGTTGGCAGGACCCATCTTTTCATGCATTCTAGCAATTGTGCAGTGGTACTTCACTGTGATTTTACTTTGAACTTCTTTAATGACTAATTATATGCTGACATATTTTCACGTGCTCATCTGCCTTCTGTGTGTTCTCCTTGGTGAAGTCTATGTTGCAATCTTTTGCCCATCTTTTTTGTCAGGTTGTTTCATTTACGAGTTTTGAGAATCATTTATATATCCTGGATTCAAAAACTTCATCAGGTACGTGATTTGCAAGTATCTTCTCCCAGTTAATAGTGACATTCAAAGAGCAGATGTTCTTAATCTCAATAATGGGCAATTCATCAATTTCTTCTCTTACGGACACTGTTTTGGTGTCCTATCTATGAAGTCTTCACCCAATCCAAAGTTATAGAAATTTTTCTCCTGTTTTCTTCTAGAAGCTTTATGATTTTTAGTTTCACATTTATGTCTAGATCCACTTTTTTGTTAATTTTGTATATGGTGTGAGTTCATGGATTGAAATTCTTTTTTTTTCTCCTTTGGATACCTAATTATTCTAGCACTGTTTGTTTCCTAGACATGTATATTTGGGAAGAGGTTTTGGAGCAGAAATGATCCACCCTCCTCTATCTAGTGAGCTACTCATCCTTCAAAAGCCAGGTCAAATGTCCCTTTGGCTAGGAAGCCTTCCCCAGCCGAGGCCAGGTAGCTCTTTCAACTGTCCTCTGGTGCCATCTCTGGCATATTCTTATCTCACATGATTGCATTAATTCCCAAGTCTTTTCCTGATAGAGTGAAAATTCAGATGTGGTCCTTAATTCCAGCACTTGGTAGGAGTGGAGGTGGGGGAGTGACTCAGAAAACAATTGTTAAAAAAAAAAAGAATAAACAAGTGAACAATCCTCTTTTTCTCTTTTTTAAACAACTGAGTGGCACCTCTCCAGGCCCTACTCACAGGCCATATCTTCCAGGAAGCCACCTGACTGCACCTACTTACATTAATCATCAATAATACTTACTAAAAGTATCTCACTGATTTGACTTAATCCAAGCCCAGCATCTAAGTACTTTCTGCACATCATTTCGTTTCATTCTCACAAATCCCTGGGGCAGATACAACTACTATGATTATTTTACCGAAGAGGATACACATGCTCAGAGACGTTGGGTTCCATGCCTGATGTCACATATCCAGTGTCAGAGCTCTGGTTTGAACCCAGAGAGCCTGTCACAGAGGCCTCGCTCTCATCTCTACACATACCACCTCCTGGTTCCCTCTATTTGTACAACTCTCATGTCCCTGACAAGCCCAGGTCCCCGATATTACCAGTCTTTGCCAACGATGCACCCTGGAGACAAAAGAGCTAAGTCACACAGAAGACCCCTTCCTCACCCTCTGATCCTTGCCATGGGGACACACACACCCATGGAGACACACCCAGAAGGACCTCCTCCTTACCTTAGGCCACACACCCATGCCGAAGGAGCTGCTGTCTGCCATCTGGTGCAGGTACAGATCTGTCCTGGAAGCAAAGAAGGGACGAGAAGTTATTAGGGAGGGCCCACATACACCAGTGGCTGTCACACAATGCTTCAAGCAGCCCCAGTGGCTACCCCAGGCCCTGGCCAATATTCCTCACTCATTGCCCTCACTCATCCTTTCCTAAGTGCCAGGAAACCCTGCAAGTCATGGACTATAGCCACAAAGGCAGGTTCTAACTCCAGGTCCTCTAAGGACCAGCTGTGTGAACTTGGGACTGTCAACTTGAACAAGCCCCTTCTGTATGCCAAGATCTGAGATTACTCATGACAGCCCTACCCAATAGGTGTAAGTATTAGGCCCATTTTACAAATGACAAAATAAAGGTACAGGGTTAGCATCTTGCCCACACACTTAGCAAACACAGAGCTGGGAGTCAGGCTGAGTTCTTCTGGCACCCAGAGTCCAGAATCCCATGCTGTCCTGCCACCTGCCCCTTCTTCTCCTGGCCTCTGTCTTCACGCCATTAAGTGGCATGATGTTTAAGGTCCCTTAAACCAAAAGACCCTTAAAAGAGGTGACTGCAGGTAGGTAGCCTTACCCTGGAGGCCTCAAAAAAGCAAGCAAAAGGGGAGGTGGAGGCATGTCCTCCTCCAGGCACCCTCTACTCACAAGAGCCCAGCCTATGACCCCCGCACCCACCACGGGGCTCACATTGGTTCATAGGAAGTAGTGCTCTCTCACCAGTTTCCAGTCAGTTTCTCCAGTTCTGGGGCCTTTAGTGCCATCTCCCCAGGTTCTTTGTCTCACAACCTGCAAGGTCCCTTGTCAGAGAGACTGTGAATCCAATCCCAACTCTGCCAGCTAGCAGATAAGGTGGTAGCAGTCCAGGAGGAGCTTTCAACTCCCCTCTCTCCACCAGGCGATGGCTCTAGGCCCAGAACAGACTCCCACCCAGGGGTATAGAACTGATCACCTACACATGGGCTCACAAGGGAGAGGGGCATGGCCTCCAGTCTTCTGAGAGATGAGGAAACAGGGGTGAATCCCCTCACTGGAGGACCCGAAGCTGGAAAGCAGGATTCAAACTTCTACATGCAGAGTCTACACTCTCCCATGTTACCCCTCAACTATGCACCACACACCACGTCTACCACCTCGACATGTAACTTGGTTTAAATGCCCACAGGGCTGGCACAAGTAGGTACCCATTCTAAGGAAGGGAAAACTGAGGTTCAGAGATGACCACATCAGGCAAAGCCTGTATCTAAACAGGTATCCCTCTGACTCCAAAACCAATCCTTTCTAGCACACACCAGATCAGGACGTGATGGGCTTGCGGGGCAGGTCTAAACCTCCAGAAGAACAACAACAAACGTGCAAAGCATTTGCTATGCTCTGGCCCCATTCTAAGCACTGTACACTCCTCACTCGGTAACCATCACAACACTCTGAGGTAGACACACTCATTTCACAGATGGGAAATTAGGCTCAGAGAGGTGAAGTCACCAGCCTGGGGTCACACAGTCGGCAAGTGAAGAGGCCAGCTGTGAATCCCTGCAGTTTGGCCCCAAAGTCAGTGGTCCTAGCCACAATGCTACACCAGTCTACTCCAAGTTCTTCTATATTCCCAAAGGCTTCCCAGAAGCTTCCTTACTTTCAGTTACCTTGCTCTGAAAACCAGAAGTTTCCTCTAATCTTCCCTCTATCTGAAGGGTACAGTTGTCCTCCCAGCCTTACCCAGGAGGCTCGGGACAGGTTGAGACTGCCCTTCAGATGGGGGAGGAAGGCAGACAAATAATGGGGGGTGCAAAGAGACAAACTGCAAATTATCCCTCCTTCACCTGCGAAAAGGCCTAGTTTTTTCCTTGCCCTGGGGCTTCACTAGAACCTTGCCCGGTCACTCAAGAGATAAGAAAACCAAGGCTCAGACAGGGAGGGAGCCACACAATGTCCTAGAGTCAGGGAAGGGCAGAGATGACTCCCTGGGCTACCTCCCCCAGGAAGCACTCCAAAATGAATCTCCTGGCTACTCTGCGGGCTGTTTCACCCTGAGCTCCATTGCCAAGGTAACCCACTCAAGCAAACCGTCCTGAGCACCCAAGGCTCTCAAAGAGTTCAGGAACTTCTGGAAGATGTGGGGTCTTCTGTTTCCATGCTGCTGTCAGAAACTGTTAACGAAATGCCACCATCACAGCAGACAGCCTCCATCACCCCCCAGCACATAAAAAGAGCTCTACATGAATCAGTTCACTAACTCCTATAAGGTCAGTCAACATTTCCACTTTACAGAGGAAGAAATGGAGGTTCAGAGTCGATGACACTGGGCCAGGTTCACCCAGTGCATGAGCAGGACCAGCAGCAGGAATCAGACAGGTAATCACTGGGTTCCAGTGCCTCTCAGCAGAGTGAAGGCTGGGCCCCTGAAGAGCAGGTGCCCTGGGTCTCAGCGCCCTCTGCTGTCCCTGCCTGGCCCAGTCACTCACCTGAGATCCAGGTCCAGTCCAGCTAGCATCTGGGAGAAAACCTCAAAACTGCCTTCCCCTTCCAGCTGCCGCGCCACACGGCTCTTCTCCAAAAGCATGGTCTGCAGGGGGAAAGGACAGGCACCTGGTCAGTACGAGGCCCTGGCCCACCCTGACCCACATCTCAGGTCCCAACTTGGCAAGACGCCTCTGTATTCGTACTTACCAGCCCTTTGCCTCACTGATTCAGAGTCCATCTAGGGAGTCAACCAATGCAACAGGCTTACTCCGATTAAGGAATCCAAAGGTAGTAACAGTTAAATAGAGCCACCTTCCAACATATTCTTATTTAACAGGAGCCTTTAATAATTTGACCCAAATGGTGATGGATGGTAGAATTTTAGGGCCAGGCCAGAAAAGGGATTTATTTGGCACCAGTGAGTCTGGATATGATCCCAGTTCCACGTACAAACAGCCCTTCTAATAACCTAATCCTATTTTCTGTTCAAACAGAATGTTTGCGGGGGGGGGGGGGGGAGGGAGGGGCCGGGTGATTTTGGAGATAGGAACAAACAGACCATGTGTTCGTCACACACAGACTGTCGCGGAAGGCCGGTAAACGTCTGTTTAATTTCAGCTGACGCTCTTAAGACCTAGCTAACGAGCAGCAGAATTATATATTTACTCATGAATATTTCATCCCTGCGATATTTCAAGGCACAGACAGGCTGGCTTGCTCCAGGAGGGGGTGTCCGGGGCCCTGAGTGAGGTGGGGAGATGCTGGCCACAGCTTGGGGAGTGATGACCATTTAGACATATTCCAGGGTCCCAGTTGGAGGCATGGGCTCTGCTGAGTGGCACTGGGGCCACTGCAGCCCCCAAAACCCCCTCTCCCATCCACCCAGAAGCCTCACCTGGAGCTGAGCAGCTGTGACTCGGCCTATGGCATTGAAGTCCAGCGACATCACCATGGCGAAGCGGGTGGCACTGCGGCTGTGACTGGTGGACACAGAGCCAAAGGCCCGAAGGACGGTGAAAGTGGCTCGAATCTTCTCCACTGTGGGAGCATGGGGCAGAGTGTCACTATGGCCCAGGCCCTGCCGCCCCACCTCTCACAAGACCCCACTCTGGCCCAAGCAGGCACCCCGCCAGTTTCCCAACTCATCTCTAACCTGCACCTATTTCACCGCTGGCCTGGCCCTGTGCTAAGAGCATGGGTATGGGGGAGCAAGACTGAGTCAAGAAAGGGAGATACACAGACCCGGGGTTGGTGCGATCTGGGAGACAGGGGCTGCCCTAGGGCCTCCCCAGCCTGGTGGAGTCTAGGAGGAGGGCAGGGCATTAACATTCTCAGACCTGCTCTCAGGGAACTCACCAGCACAGCAGGCTTGAAAGCCCTGCAGTCTCCCCACAACTGTTTATCAAGCAACTGCTCTGGGCACCTGAATACAGCCTAGCCTGACTCCCACTCTCCAACACACACTCTCAGCAGAACTACATTCTGGAAGGGCCAAGACTGGTGCCTCTCCCCGCTGTACCCCAGCTCCTAACTGGGGCCAGGTGCAAAGCAGGTGATCAACAAAACACTGGAATAACCCCAGTGGAGAAGCAGGAAAGTACAACGGTTAAGCAAATCTGAATACGGGCTCTCCCCTTTGCTAGTTACCTGATCTGGAGCAAAGTTATTAAGCTCCCTGTGCCTCAGATACTCCAACTGTAAGAGGGGGTAGTAACAGAACTTACCTACCTCATGTGGTTGTCATGAAGACCAAAACATTTAATAACGTAAAGTGCTGAGGACGTGCTCCAAATGTTAGTGTTATGTTTGCTATTAGAAAAGCAACGTTGCCTAGACCATGTGCTCTCAACACGGAGAATACTGCCCTCAAGGATTCTTGAGGGTGGGGGGAGTTTTACTTACGTATGGAGCACAGACATATATCCACACTGTGTAAACAAGTATGTGGTGTGTCTGCAGCATTAAATTTTCATGGTGGGAGATAATTAGGAAAAATAACATCTTAAAAGCTCTTAAGAGGGGCAACAAGACACCGAGAACACTTGTTCCGGGTGACAGACCTGGAGCCTGCCTGAGTTTGAATCTCAGCACTAGGATGTATCAGCTGTGTGGCCTTGAGCAATTTGGTTAAACTCTCTGCACCTTAACATCCACCTATAAAATTCAAATAATAATAATATCTACCTCGCAGGGCCGCTTTAAATTTAAAATAAGTTAACCTGCCCGGAATAGAGCCTGGAGCAAAGTGCTCAGCATGGGTTGACTATGATCACTGTCAATGCTGTAACTGGTGTTATTAACTGACGCTCTTTAAGACCCAGCTCAAACATCACTTCCTCCAGGAAGCCCCCAACCCTTCTCCTCTGCGCTCCCTCTGCCTCTCCCCGAACCGGCTCCACCAGCACATGGTGCAGAGCGCTGGAGTCTGGCACATGTGTGCAGCTGAGTCTCCCTTCTAGCTGCCGGCAACTCATGAGCACAGGCCCTGCCCTCATCTTTACTTGTCAGGGCCTCTGCACAGTCCAGCAGTCTGTGCACTGCACTAGGATGCCACATCCAAAGGAGTGCAGCATCTACATCACAGTCACAGGTTGCACACTTAGTAGGATGATGGCCCAGAAAGTGGCAGTCAAGTGTTTGGTTCTAACAGTGTTAATGTGTGATGACTGCTGCACAGATGGCAGTGAACACCTTGAGGAAGAAGTTACCTGTTTCTAACTTACGTAACAGTGTCCAACAGACTAGGGGTGGCCCCGCCCAAAAGCAAGCACAGGGTCTGCACACCGGTGCTCAGTGAATGCTAGCTGAATGGACATGAGAAGCCGCCCAGCACGCCCTCCAACTCTCGTTTCCCTACCCTCCTACCCACCGCCCCTGTCCCAGCTGCACGTTACCTGGAGACCACTGTACCTGAGACCCTGCCGTCCACACCGCCCGCCATCCCCACCAGGTGCTCCAGGACCTGCTCACAGCAGGTGGTCTTCCCAGCTCCGCTGCGGCCCAGGGCCACGATGCTCTGGTCTCTCCTCTGGCTCAGCATAGCCCAGTACGCCCGCTGGGCCAGGGAGTTGAGGTGGGCAGGCAAGCCATCCCGGCGGCCCCTGGGCACCTGCAGGAAGACTGCAGGCATCAGTCTTCCCACCAAGCGGGTGCCCAGGGAGCACTCCAAGACCGTACTCCACCCCAGCCTCAAGTCCCAATTCGCATTCCTGCCTCCCATCCTATTCCAGCCTTGTCAGAGAAGTTTTGCATTTTGCTGGGGAGAGCCCAGCCCAGAGATGTAGTCCTGCCACTGGCTCGCTGTGACTCCTTTAAGCCTATGACCCTACTCTGAGCCTAGACTGCCTCTACAGATAATGAGAGGCTTGAACTAGAGCTGTGTTAAGCTCACTTGCTACACAAATCATGGGATCCTACCTGCCTGAAATGTGGCAGCTGGATAAAATGGCACAATTGATTAGTGATGTCTGCCACAGAAACAGAACAGGTCGGGGTGGGGTCAGTGGTACACGTGCTATGTATTTGCCATAATAGACTGAGACGACACTTGTAGCCACTTCCACCTCATTCATTCATCCACTCATTCTTCATTCAATACAAAAATATTCACTGAGTGTCCACTAAGTAGCAGGCACTGTCTGAGGCACGGGGTACACAATGCTACTCAAAACAAATAAAGGAAATTCCTACCAACCACGAGGAGATACCAGTACATACCTATTAAAATGGCTAGGAAAAAAAAATGTTTTTAAGGTTTTTTTTTTTTGACACTACAAAATTCTGGTGAAGACACAGAGCAACTGGAATTCTCACACAAGCCGTGGGGTTGCTCAACAGCACAGCAACTCTGGAAAACAGTTCAGTTCTTTCCTTACACTGAGATGTGCACTTGTCATATGACCGAGCAATCCCCGTCTTAGGAATTCACCTAAGAGAATGAACATTTGTGTCTCCAAAAAAATCCTGTGTCATTGGTTATACTGAATATATACTCAAGGTCACCAAAAACAAGAAACAACCCAAATGTCCTTCAACTAAAGAACTATGATAACCAACCACCCTGTTTTCAGCATTGAAAGTCCCATGTCCCAGAAAACCACTCCATCCAGGGAAACCAGGACAACTGGTCCCACTATGAGTAGATAAGCAAAGCCGTGCAATAAAATAGGACAGAATAAAAGACCGAACGACTGGTAGCTGCAACAATGTGGGTCTCATATGCACTGTGTAAGTGCAAGAAGCTCATTCAAAAGGTTACACACTGCACCATTCCATTTCTGTGACTTTTCAGAAAAGGCAGAACTAGGGAAGAGGGACACAAGAACAGATCAGTAGCTGCCAAGGGCAGGATGGGGGTAAGGGATGACCAAAGGGTCTGGAGAACTTCTGGGGGTGACAGAACTGTCCTGTAATTGATGATGGAGACAGTCACACAACTGTATGTGTTTCTCAAAATCTTACAGAACTGAACACTAAATAAGGTGACCTTTTAACTGTATGTAAATTATACTTAATAAATCTGACTTTAAAAAACCCTCCCTAAGGAGCTTGCTTTCATTTGGGAGAAGACAGATGAGAAACAAAACAACAAAATTATACGAATGGGAGTCACTGTAAAGCCACGAGCCTGGCTGACATTGCCAAGGAAGTGGGCATTTAAAAAGGAAGACAGAAGAGGCGTGGGGACAGGGTACCCCGACCTGGAGAGACCAGGGACCAGCAAAAGGAGGCTAAGAGGGAGGGCTGGCAGGATAGAAGGAAAACCAGGAAAAGCGGAGTCCTGGAGCTAAGGAAGGAAGTGATGGCAGGAGGAGGGAGGGACCAATCCCTCAAATACCACTGAGGGTCAAGTCAGAGGAGACCAGAGAACTGACCACTGAGCTTGGCAGAGTAGAGATCATTGGTGATCTTGACAAAAATCTGTTTAGCGTGGCTTTCAGGGAGAATGGAAGAGGGCAGTACCAAAAGTGGGGTCAGTGGAAAGGCACCAAAGGAAGCCGGGGAACAGGCCCAGCAGGGGGACATCGGAAGCTCAGGATGCTAAGTGGGTGGCCAGTGGGCCAGCAAGGCCCCATTTGCCCTCCCCAGTGGCTCGGCAGGACCAGGAGCACAAATTCCAATGTAGCAGCCCTCTTCCTGGCCTGGACCTCCAGCCTGAGGTTGAGGGGTGCCCCCAATGCACTGTTGGCCTTTCCTGCCCCAAGACCCCCAGAACAGGAATGAATCCCCATCCTGATGCAAAACACAAGGCTCAGCAGGATCCCAAAGCTGGCAAAGCAGGGCAAGCCCCCACCCTGGCTGGACAGAGCCCTGGGGCACGTGGCAGACAGAGGGTCCTTGTCTGAGTCCAGGAGCTTCCTCCTACTTTAGAAACAAAGTTCAAGGGACAGGCTATCCCAATCCTTGGCTTCCTCAGGCCTAGTGAGGGAGAGAGTATTCTGCAGACACACAGGTGCGTCTGTGCACACGTCTCCTTGTACCTGCGCACTGGTACCCTCGCATGCTTGCACACAGGCGTGCTAAAGGGCACACATACGCAGAAGCTGCAGAGGCCTCTGCACGCACAGTTGTGCCCATCTACACCCGCAGTCACACCTACGCTCACGCCCACAGAGGCCTGCACCTTCACCCCAGCCGGCACACACTTAGCTCCCAGACACCAGGTGGGCCCAGGCCCCCAGTGAGAGGACCCCAGCCCTGCCGGGACCCCATCAGCCCATCTTCCAGGTGGCCCCAGTCCCAGCCTCGCCGCAAGTCTCTGCTCCCACCTGGTGGCCATTTGAGGAAACAGACGAGACTTACCCAAAGAACAGAAGGTAGCTGTGGGTTTGGGTGTGGAAGGCTGAGTGACTTGAGGGGTCCCCACCTCCACCCCAGGGTTACAGGGGCTCAGAGGGATCATAGGACTCAAGTGTTTCCTATCAGAATCCCAATGCCTGCCTTGTAGGCTCTCTGGCCCAGGCTGTGTAACAGATGCTGCAATACCGGACAGCCTGGAGAACAGGGCCCAGCAAGGGACGGGAGAGTACACATGTCACCCTCCAAGGCCCCTGGCCAGGAGCTGGAGAGAGGCCTGGAGAGCAATGTAAGGGGGGGCATCCTGGAGAAGAGAAGCCTTAGACAGGGGCTGCAGGGCTACTGTCCCCCTCTTTCATGGATTTAGCATCACTCAGGGGCTAGGAATGGCTTTGTCTCATGAGACTCCGAAGGACAAGATGTGACGTTTCATCCCCAACTGACAGATGAGAACACTGAGGCCAGACAGGGGTTGTGATCTTCCCAAGGCACCTGTGGTGTGTTAGCAGGTGTCCTACAGATCTGAACTCCACCCACAAGTCTCAGAACTGCACACAGATAAGACTTTTGACCTCCAAAGGGTCTCCCTGCCTCCACATCTGCCGGCCTCTATCTCACCTGCACCCAGCAGCCAAGGGGATCTTCCGCAGCATAAGTCAGACCGTGTCACTGATCTGCTAAAAAGCCCCATCACGCTCAAAGAGCTGAGTCAGTATGACGCCGTGTAAGACCCAGCATGACCCCTGGCCCCGCTTCTCCCGACCTCCTCACTCTCCCCACGTTCACCTGCTCCACGCAGTCATTGCTATTACTTGGGGCCTGTCTTCCCCCACCAGAATGGAAGCTCCATGAAGGCAGCTTCATTTGCCTGTCTTCTTCCCTGCTTTTCTCTCCGTGCTTGGCATACAAGCACCCCACTCAAGATCCCCTGAACGCGTGGACAGGACGGGGCTCCAGTTACTCGGTTGTAGCTGCAGGCCTTTCCACAAGGTGGCGCTGAGCGATTCCCTTGGCTTTGCGGTCTTGACAAAAACAGCCATTTCTACACACCACAGGAAAAAAATAAAGTGGAGCTGAAGCTTGTTTCCCAATTCACGTGGGTGTCTGGGACTCCCAAGAGTCCAGGGTTGGGCTCAGAGTACAGAGCAGCCAGTGGCGCGGGTTCTACCCAGTTCCTTCACTTACTGAACGTGAGCTCGGCAGCCCAGCCCGCTTCTCACCTGTCCTGGCAGGCGGGCCTGGGAATTACTTGAAACGACACACGAAGGTGCCTGAAGCAGTGCCTGGTACATAGTTGACACCCGTTCGGTATTTTCTCTCTTGTTATTACATCTTTAATGCTCCTGCTGCTGTTTATCAGTTACTCATCTTTCCCCTCTAAGGAGGGGGATCAAGTGGTCCCCAACGCTCCCCAACACCCACCGTGCACCAGAATCTCAATTCTGCAGCTCTCTACTCACAGACAGGTTTGCTGGGGGCTTTGGTTGCTCTGCTCTCCCCTGAGATGCAGAGGGACTCCCCCCATCCCACCCTTCCTGCACTGCCCCAGCCCCGCCCACTGTGGTCCCCCTCACCTTGCCTGCAGAAGGTACCGGGGGCCCCCGTGGCTGGAGGACGATCAGGTCAGGCCCAGCGCAGGTGTGCGGAAGCTGAGCCCGGTAGCGGTGCAGGAGTGTGTTCAGGACACTGGATTCATTGACACTGACCAGGGAGGCCAGGTCATCCGCCTGGTCCAGCTCGGGGGGGTTGGCCTGTGAATCATCACACAGCATGTCCTCTGGCCTCCTGGGCCCCCCTACACACACAGCCCTGGCGACCCTGTCCCCGGAGAGCTGCGTGCCAAAGATTAGAACAGGACACAAGGACTTTGGAGGGAACGACGAAACCCTACGGATGAAATGGGTGGGAACCTCTCTCCTTTGGTGTTTGCACAACCCAGGCCCCACCCCTTCCTCACACTGGTCCTTCCTCCTGTGGCTCCCTGCACTGGAAAGGGGAATGCTCCTAAGACGATGCAGCAAGACTCGAGTGCTTTCTGCCTCTCGAGCACAAAAAGAGGGTGATGCTCCAGAGGGAAGGAGCATCCCCTACTGGTTCCTCCTCTTCTAGGTCTCATCGGGGAGCTCTGCAAGTGCTCCGTGACACTCAGGGAAGGGGGTCAATGCCCTGACTGCCCCACTTCTCCGATAGCCCATCATACACTGATCACTTGGAAATATGCCAAAACCGTTCCGGAAGCAAGGGATGACTACAGCCTTTCCATTTTAATGAACTTCCTACCATTCTTTCCAGCTTCAAGGAGTTTTCTGGGCCTAATGCCCTGGGGTTTGGGTCAACCCTGAGCTCTTTTATGGGTCAGCTTTTCTTCTGAGGACACTGGCCCTCTGCAAACTCCCAGCACCAGGGGGAGTGAAGGGCCTGGGGTGGGCAGAGGAGCAAAGAGAGATGAAGATGGAGGAGACCGACAAGGAGTTCCTGGAAGAAACTCCTTCTCAGTGAGTAGGCTGTGAGGGGTGGAAGACGATCAGGACAGGACCTTTCACTTCTATCATTACACTCCGACTTATCTTCAAATAGCCTTATGGTGTATTGCAGAAATTACGCAAAACAACTGAAAAAGCAAAACCAAAACAAAGGTTGGTATCCAAAAGGCAGGCAATTGGAACCCATGCTATGGTTAATGGCAAGCTGCAAATTTGGTTCCGAGTTCCCTGGCAGCCAGAATGAAAAAGGAAGCATGCTCTGTAGCGTCATTTAGAATGTATACAAAAAGGAAAACAATCACTTTCTTGGGTCAAACAGAAGAACTCCAAGTCCCCAGATCTGACAAACATCTCTTAATATGTCCTCATACAGGGGGCACCATGGGACAGAGTAAAGACCCCTCAGCAGTATACCTCCAGCGGAGCAGTACCTTCCCTGTAATTCCCTCCGGGGCATCAAGCCCAAGGATTATCTGCAGTCAAGCACAAGGAAATCTCTTGCAGGGGTGGGGAAGGAAGCCGTGGAGCAGGCGGGGAGGGGGACAGGGTCTCACCCGGTGAAGTTGATCCTCATCCACCTCGGTGATGCTTTTGTCAGCATCAATGCAAAGTCGCACCCTTCCTGCCGGCAGGTCGGCTGTTCCCTCATCTGGCTTCAGCACTGTCGCTGGGAGAGGGAGAGAGACAGGGAGGGAGGGAGGGAGGGAGAGGAGGGGAGAGAGAAGAGCAGCAAAGGAGCGGAGGGCAGAAGACAGGGACAGAGGAGAAGAGGAAACGGAAGGAAAGAGGTTCTCAGCTACTGAGCCAGAACAGGGAGCTGGAGAGGGAGCCTGGGACAGGTCAGAAATGGGTAGCATTCTCTCCCCTTGGAGCCCATTTACACAGAGGGTTCTGAACTGTGACCCCAGACCCTTTGAAGACAGAGGCTGGGTCTGACTCATATGGGACTCTTATCAGTTGGCACAGTGCCAGGCACAGAGTCGGCACCCAGATGGTTGGGTGTGCTGACCCATCTCATACCTAGATCTGGGATGGCAGGTAAAGGTGTACAGGCTGCCACTCCTCCTTCCAGTGCCCATAACAGGCATCACTAATCAATCACACTTTCCAGTTGTGTTCTGAACGGGACTCAGAATCCGTTCTCAGCAGAGTTTGGTCACCAGCCATAAGCTACCGACAAAAGTGGGCTCATGAGACGAAATCCACGTGCCCACTTGCCCTAGGCTCCGAGTTCCTCAAGCAACACTGCAGAAACCAAACAATGCTTGTTGCTCTAATGATCAGTTAAATAATTAATTAACAAGGCTCAAACGCCTTTGAAAACAGCAGCTAATAGACCAGCTGCCAAGGGTGAAATGACACCTAATCATTCCCACCCAAAAAGCCACCTATCCCCATCCTAGTCTCAGCTGCTCCTTACCCCTCCCCACCCCGCCCTTCCCAAACTGGGATCAGGACCTGACAAACCTGGCTAGCAGCAGTAGGGGGCAAGAGAGGAAAACACTTAGACCCCAGAGGTGCTAACACCCCTAATTACCAAGAGTAAATCCATCCTTCTGAACCAGCCAGACTTTCTCTGCCTCGTACCATCTGTCCTCAGGAGCCTGAGAGCAAAGATCACATAAATTAGAGCAAGATGACACTGCCCCCACGAACCAAGGGAACTGAATTCCTTATGTAGGAGTTTCTCAGTGGGTCTGGGAGCACCTAAATCAGAAGGTTCTGGTGGGGGTGGGGAGTGCTTATTTAAATGCAGGAGCCATGGTCCTACCCCCAGCTTTCTGACTGGGAAGCTCCAAAGTGGGGTCCAGGGATCTCCATTTTGGGCAATCAGCTATGTACGCAGCACAGAGAACTGTCACGTGACACTGTAAGCTCAGCCACAAGGGGACATCTCACACGGCTGGGACGTTCTCTCACCCTATGGAGACTCTCACCCCGGGACAGGTGCTGTGGGGGTCTCAAGACGTCTGCTTGTCAAGAGGGAAGTGTCTGCTCCCACCTCTGGGCTGGCCACCCTCTCCAACTCCCTGTCCACCTCCTGTTCCCAGCCTGTCCAGCACCAACGCAGGTCTTTCCCACTCCTCCTTCTCTGGCCTGCCCCTTCCCACTCCCGGTGCTGTGGCCCCCTCACCTGGTCCGAGACTCTGCTCTGGCCGCCTCCACTCCCCTCCTGCAGGGCTGGCCCCTCTCGGCTCTTCATCTCGGGCCTTTCTGCACAGCTCTCCAGAGCAGGCTTTCTAGGTCCTTCCATCTCCAGCTCTGGGCCCCCATCACCGGTGCTAGTGCAGGGCTCCTCTGCTTCCTGCCCTCTGCTTTCAGGCTGGTCCTCCTTCCCGGCTGCTGCCGGCGTCTCTCCACGTGCATCCATCTCCTTTGGGGCTTGAGAGCCCTTCTCTGTCTTCCTTCCAGCTTTCCCTGCCTCCTCAGACCTGCTCTGAGGCTGCCCTACCTTTTCCATCTCACCCTGGGGTTGACCTGCTCTCTCCATTGCTCCGGGAGCTTCTCCCACCTGTCCTTGTGCTGTGCCCACCTTCTCTGCCTTGGCCTGAAGCTCCTCGGTCTTGTTTGCCTGACTTAGGAGCACACCTTCTTTGTCCTTCTTACTCTGGGGACCGTCCCACCTGCTTCTTCTGCCCAGGGAAACTCCCCACCTTCTCACCTGGGTTCTGGCCCCAGCCCACTTCCTTTCACCGGCAGCCTCCTGGGAGAGATTCCCCTTTGCCACCTTGCTTGAGGGGTCCCCTCCCCGTTTCTCCACTGTCCCTGGTTGACCCCCCTCCCCTGGCCCCTCTTTGCCCTGGAGTTCACCCCCTTTCACCCCTTTGGTCTGTGGGGCCCCGCCCCCCTTCCTCACTGTGCCTTGATCCTTCTCGCCTTCTGTCGGTAACACAGTTCCCAGGTCCCCAAGACCCCCAGCCTGGGTCCTCTCAGCCTTCGGAGCTGCATCCTTGGTGCTGGCCTGGGGGCCACAAGGAGTCTCTGAGGTCTCCCCTTTCTTTTCAACCCCAGGGTCTGTGGCTGGGGGTGGGGTCTTGCAAGTGGGTGCCCCACGGGGCTGGGTCCTCTGCTCCGGCCTGGCTGAGTCCGAGTCCAGCTTGGCCACCATCAGCAACACATCGCCCCTCCTCACCCCCCTCTTGAAGGGCAGGGGTTTTCTGGCTGGTGTCCCGCTGGGGCCCGACTCCTGGGGCCTCTCGCCATTGATGCTGGTCATCAGCATGGGGTCCACGGTGCCGGCCCCCTCGCTCTTCCTGCCCAGAATGTCTGCGCTCTGGGAAGAGCTTGAGATTTGTTGGCTTCCAGATTTGGTGCTGTTGGTCTGGTTGAAGGGAATTTCTGGGGTCTAGGAGAAAACACCACAACCATACTTAGCTGCTTGCTACCACTCACTCATTCACTCACTCACTCACTTGTTCACCCAACCATTTACTCATCCAAAGACTCTCAAGAACCTACAGGCAATGAGCTGAACCCTAATATCCTAGGCTTTGGCTCCAAACCTCAAGGCCAAGTGATGTAATGAAAGGAGTGGACTCTGGAGCCCAACAGACCCAAATTCAACTCCTAACTCTGCCACTCACTAGCTGTGTCGCCCTAGGTAAGTTACATCCCCTCTCTAAGCCAGTTTCCCTTAGGACCGACCATAATGGCCTACTACACAGCGTGGGTGTGGGGATTCCTAATACATGGAGAATGAGCCCGGCACCTAGGAAGTCCTCAGTCACAGGAGCCACTATTGCTGCGCCTGTCACTGGTGCTGCTGTCACGAGTGCTGTTACTATTATTTACACCTGATCCTGCTAGGCAGCGATGGGGAAAGGACCTGGACCTGTTCTTGCCTTGGCTTCGATGCTTTCCAGCTGGGTGACCACAGACGACATCACCTCTCCTCTCTGAAACTTGGTTTTCCCTCAGTGCAGGCAGATACCATCTCACCACCCAGGTTTTTTGTAGGATGAGATGTGGAAACTGCAGAGAACTGAATGAAATGAGCTGCTGCTGCCTCCACTGTCCTGGTCCCTGTACCACACCTGCAGACCAGGTGAGGGCCCTGGTTCTGCCCCTGAGGTCCTCCACTTTTGCTTGACCTAGACATCTGGGAACACAACACCCTGGGGTCTCCACTGCCTGTTCCTCTCCCATGTTTGTCTTTCTATTGTCTTGTGAGGTCAGCCCTGCCCAGCCCTCCATCCTTAAGCCAGCCTGGCTGCAGCCTGAACTGCTCACAGGGTCAGCTTTGCCTCTGGAGAAAAAGACTGAGGGGGAGCTTCCACCCTGATGCCTGGTTTCACCATCTGCGCTAGTCTGGGTTCTACAATCTTGGATCAGAACACCAGCCTCCCACACACCTGTGCCTGGGAATCTGGGGTTCTCACCCTCCTCCAGTACTCCAACCAGCCCCAGGACTGCATTGATTCTACCCTGCAAAGTTTCACATCTGAATTTCCTTTCCCAAACCCAGGTCTGCTAGCTCTCACCTGGGCCACTGCCACAGCCACTGAGTTGATGTCCCTTCAATTTGCTGCCATTCATTCAAAACCTGATCAAAAGATGCTGGCAAGTGCCCAGGAAAATCATTTCAGCCTCCAGGAAAACCATTCAACACTGCCATCTGCCAGTCAACGTTCTCAAAGAGGAGCCCCCTCCTCTGGAATTATTGTTCCTGCTTATCTCCAAGTCTCTGTCCCACCAGGCATTTCCTGCCACACCTGACACTCCCCTATTTCCATATTCTGTTCAAGCTGAGCTTGCTGCCTGGAATGCCCTTTCTCCTCTCCACTTGTCCAGGTTCTATGCATCTTTCTACACCCAGCTCAAATACCACATCCTCCATGAACCTTTGCCTGAAAACCTCAATCAGAAACTGTCTCATAGGCCCATGAAGTCCCAGAGCACCGTGTGCTGGGGCACCATTTACTGCAAGTATCATGTTTTGCATCACATTCTAGCTCTGATTTGTGTCTCTCTCCTGTTTTAAGTGGTGGATGGCCCCAGAGCACAGTCTCAATCTTCATCTTTGTAAAAATGACAACAAGAGTTATTGATCAGTCCTTACAGTGGGTCCTACATCACCATCGTGGGATATCCTACTTAATCCAATAAAGAACCCAAAGAAGTAGGTTCTAAACTTCGCCCCATCCTACAGATAAGGGAAGAAATGCAAACATGTTAGGTGGCCCGAGACAAACCTATAATGGAAAATCACACGGGCCTCCGAGTTTAAAGCCAGTGCCATTACGCACCTCATAGCAATAGCCTTACTTGCCTTTCTGGGACTCACTGGAATCTCCTGGGCGCTTTAAAAAATTCTGACATTTTGGCTTCCATCCCAGAGAGTCTACACAGTTGGTCTGGGCAGCGCCCCTACCCCCAGGTGACTGCAACATGCAACTAGGGCTGAGAACCCCTGGTAGAATCTCCATGGCCTGGGCACTCAGCCTGACCCTCTGGGACCCGACAGGATATCTCCTTGGAAAGGGGATTGGCTGCACCTGGCACATCTCACCAACGTTTCCACCATTTTGCAAAGTGAGTCAGTGCCTTATTTTTAACCAAACCACAGCAGTGGAGACAGTAACATGGGGATGGGTCAAACAAGATAACGCCTGCCAACTTCCCTCCCCTCCACCCAGGGAATTCTCTCCCTTCGGATTTTCTCCATCTCCAAAGCCCTTAGTCCCCTCTGAGGCCTTCTTAATACAAGGGGAAGCAGCATGTCTAGACTTACCAGAGCTCAAAGGAAATACACAGCACATCCATTTTACAAATGAGCACACTGAAGCAAGAGTGGGGAAGGGATCTGGCCTGGACCATATGGAGTGGTGGGGCCAGAGCTAGAACCCAGTTCTCCTGACATTCAAGGACCTCTTCCTGCCCCTGTGTTAGTCCAGCCTCTCCTTGTCCCTCATGGCTGGGTGGCCTTAAGAAAACCAAGTTGCCTTCCTGTGCCTCATTTTCCATCCCTGCAAAATGGTGATGGATTCCAGTGGCTCCCTGAAAGGATTATGTGAGGATCAAATCAGACAGCTGTGCTGGGGTGAGGAGAGAGAATCCAATTATTTAGTGATCAGGACAAGAAAATACAATCAGCAGGAGCCAGTCAGGGCTTGCTGCCTCACAGGAACATGTCCTGAGGTTGCCCTGTTCCAGCCCCAGGAACATCTTGGCCTGTGGTCCAGACACCTGTTGCGGTCTGAGGCCTGTCCATCCTGCTCTGAGTCTCCATCCAGGCCCTATGGTGACAGTCTGTCCCATTCTCTGCTCAGCTCTACTTCTTAAGTTGTGCACAGAGACACCAGCATGGCCTGCAGGCTCCTGAATTCTTTCCTCTCCAGGCTTCTGGGGCCACTGCATGAGCCACCTCACTCCCCAGACTGGTCCTTCCCCAGGCAGCTGGCCAGAGTAGGGAATACACAGACCTGACTTCACTGAACCTCAGTCTCCACTTCTGATAAGTGGGTATAATCCCATTTACCCACTGATGCACAGGGTATCAAAGGAGCCCATGAGCAGAGAAATCTTGTGCAGTGATAAACAGTACACAACAAACTTCCTCATGACCTAACAGCAGCCTGTGGGAGTCGACTCTGGCCCCTACTCACTGGGTCAGGCAGGGGTGGGCACAGAGCCTGTCCTCTCCGTCCTCCCCACCCCACCACAGACTTGGTAGGTGTGTTCTGTTAGAGAACTCCTCTGATGCAGCAAAGTAACTGTGATTGGACAGGTGCAGACACGTGGTGGCCGGCTGGGTCAACAGCTGAAGGGGCATGGGAGGCAGAGCCAGAGTGGCCACTGGGCTCGAGCCAACTCTAGGCCCTTAGGCCACCAGATCATGCAGCTCAAACACTGCAGCATTCACCTCACCTCCAGAGGGCGCTGCAGAGATACAAGGAGAGGCCCTTTCTGCTAAAATGGGGATATGCCCAAGGTGCACTGCATTCCAAGCCCCCTTCCCTGGTGTCCAGCCCCATCGCCCTGCCAGGGTTCCTTGTCTAAAGAGCCAGGGAAAAGGAGGGAGGCAGCACTAGACACCATCAGGGATAAATTAGCAAGTCTCTAAAGCACAGGGACCGCATCTCGTCTACCTACTGCTTCCAGCCAGCAGCGCTATTCTCAAGTACAGGGTTTTGGTGGACACCAACCAATCAGAAGGGCTGACAGCTGGAGCAGGGTCCTGGGGTCTCTACCTGTGCCAAGCAGTAACACTTTAATTATTGGCTTGTGGCCACTCTGAGGGACTCAGGGAAGGACTGAGGTGAGCATGACAGCTGAATGGCACTTGGGGGACTTGGGGCCACGGCCATTTACCACCTGGTATGGAAGGGTTTCAGTATTTTACCAACAATACAGCGACAACCAGTGAATCCCAACTAAACATCTTTTCTGCTTAAACGAAAGCACGCTCTCATCCTTAGGTAATATTCAGGTTTCCCTTTCTGCACAAGTAGTGGTAAAATGATCCCTATCACACATCAACTGGTATCATTCATTCATTCATTCAACAACAATTTTTCAGCACTTGCTATGGACCAAGCACTATGAGAGCTGCTCAAGATACAGCAGAATGAGAGAGTTGTTGCTCTTAAGGAATCCCTAGTCAGATAAGCCATATCATCAAGTAATTACTATGCTGACCACAATTCAACAGGCATAGGAAGTGCGGTGGGAATCAGAGGAAGGAAGGCAATGGGAGAGCTTTCCAGAAACATACTATTTGCACTGAATTTTGAAGGATGTATAGGAGTTCAACAGATTAAAGCGAAGACAGGACACTCCTCAAAGTGAGGACCGCAGGAACAAAGGTTGGCAAGTGACTCAGGGGAGGCTCAGGGGACAGGATGGTGGGTACTGACGGTCACCTGGTCCCCACCCTGTGGGGCCACTTACCTCTCGTTCCGGAGAGGCAAGCGCTGTCTCTTTTCTCTGTCTTGCTTCCTTGGACTCTTTCTCAGTCTCCCGGACCAGCTGTCTAATGAAGCCTCCTGGGATGACAGAGAACAGGGGAGGGGGCGAGGACGGTGGGGGGCTCTTGTCCTCGTCCCGAATCTGTTTTGTGGAAGCAAGGAAGGAGAAAGCTCAGTGAATGACCCTGCATGAGCAAGTGGCCCTTTAAAGAGTCTGTGATGGAGCTGGGGAGGGAGGCACACATGACCAAGCCTGTGTATGAAAGGCCACAGCAAAGCAGGTGAGGTTCGACATGGAAGTGGAATGCCTGAGCTTCAGAAGTGACTGTGGTCAGTGTGCTCTATGCCTGGACCGAGTTTCCTCATGATGTGCATTTACACCATCAAGGCCACTGGTTCCCTCCCTTGGTGTGAGACAGAACTGCTTCAAAAAGAGCTTTTCCAGTTTCTGGAACGGGATGGATCCCAGAGAACCATTCACACTCTCCTGTTCCATCTCCCTTGCAGTTAGTAGAATAGATTAAGCCATTAATTCATCACTCTATCACTTCTGTGTGCCAGGAACATGGAAAGGGAGGGAAGGGCTTGCAGCCACGGTTTATGTAAGAATCCAGCCCTGTGGCTACAGCCCACTCTGCCCACCCAGTGCTGTGGCTTCCTAACCCTCCCCAAACCAGGACCTGGGAAGCCAGGGGCTCCTCAACGCTGGGCTTTAAAGTCTGCACTTTACCCTAGAAACATGGTTCAGGCCAGAGCTGACTGCATTTGGGCTGTAGCTGAGGACTGCCCCGGTGATCTTGGGGGCTGAAACCTGGGGTTGTAACCAATGGGGTGGGTCTTTAACCAACATCAGTGACTGCTCGTGAGTTTCTATAGCTAGGTTTAAAATAAGCTCCTTATCAAGGTCCTCTCCAGAGGCTAGCTAACACTTGATCTCTGCAGCCCTGCTGATAAAAGGGGAATCCAAAGGAGACAGCAAAGTCCAGAAGGCAAAGCAGAGGGCAAGAAATAAGGCAGACCTCCGCCTGGGAAGAGTGAAGCAGGAGACACACGAGGCTGGGCTCACGTTTACACCACACTGCCCCTCTTGATGGGACTGAGACTGCGTCATAAGTGAAAGGTGCTGCAGGTGTCAAAATTATTCTGGATGCTGCATCCAGATCAGTCCAGGAGGGGCAGAGGCAGCCAGAAAGAAGCTTCTGGACCACCCCACCCTTCACCCTCCAATGCATCAAAACATGTGCACATGGGTGGGAGGAGGGGTGGAGGAGATAACACGCATCAAAGAGGCAGCCCTTCAAGGAGTCTTATGAGAAATACAAAAGGGAAAAGAGGAATCACTGGGAAGAAGGGCTTGTTTCCAATTCTCCATGGTGACAGAAGGCAGGGACCTCAGAAACCCATCCCCAGGGCATAAACCTGGCCAACAGCTCTGCAACCCCTCCCCAGCATACGCCCCTCCTCACCACCCCACAACCCCATACTCATTCCCTCACTGCCTACTGAGAACAGGAAGCGACCAGGCAGCCATGAGGGAGTCAAGGACATGGTCACTAATGTCCAGCTGGGCTGGGAGGCCATGCCTAACCGAGGCAGATGGAGGGGGACTGGACATGCCCCAGAGAGGCACTGGGACTTCAGAACCCCTGCCCGAGGTGGGAGGGGGCAGCCTGGACTAGCCCGGCTGAAACTTATCCTTGGAGTGTCCAGCTGGCCCCAGTGGCTGCAGTCTGAGCCCTCAGCGTTACTTTCCTTCTGCTCCCACAGGGCGAGGCGTGATGAGATGGCCATGCTGCGGCCGTGGCAGGACCACGAGGTGAGATGAGATGGAGCTCTCGGCCAGACAGCACGGAATGCGGCTTTATGGACACACACAGCGCATGAGGTGATGGACACACGAGACTGAACCACAGAGACACAGTGGGGAGAGAAGAGAGATAGGTGAGCTCGTGGGCACCGCCCGGCTCCCATCCCCCACCATCATCATGTACCAAGAACCCACAGCCAGGCACAACTCACTGTCACTTACATCTGGGAGGAACGCAGTCAGCACAGGGCTGCTGGCCATGGAGCAGACAGTGCACTGAAAGCCTTTGCCCTCAACCCTACACTTCAACTTTCTCATGACATATACAATCAGAAGAGCACATACTCATTAAATGCACAGCTCAGTGCACTCACATAAAGAACTTAAATGTAACCAGTACCCTGACCAAATTAAAACTATTGTTTTAAATTTTTTAAATAAACACTATGATTTTAAAAATATTTTAAATCCAGTTAAAATGTAGTGTATTCCTGATTAAAAGAATCATCTTAATTTTAATCAAAATTATAAAAATAAAAAATAACTTTAAAATTATTAAAAATAAATTTTAATTTAATTTAAAATATTGTATTTATATAAAACAAAATCAAATCCAATCAGGCAAATCTAATTTACAGTGATAGAGGCTGGAAGAGCTGTTAGCTTTTGCTTGGGAAGAACCATGGGGGAACTTTCTAGGGCAATGGGAATGTCCTATATCTTGATGTAAGTTGTGAAATATGAAATAGAATAGTCACTCATGTCAAGTGGCTTCAAAATGGCATGGAGAGCCAGGCCATTAATGAGATGGATCTTACGCACATCCTCACCAGGTGCAACCAGGAACTTTTGAATTGGTCCAAACCACAAAGATCCCAAGGACCCTACAAGAACACCTGCCATAAGTCCCAGTAAAGAAATTTTACTTCCCTCTAGCGATAGCCTCCACGCTCAATCACATTTAGCTAGGACCAGCTTCAGCCTCCAATTCCAATTCCAAATCTTTGTAATGCAAACCTCCCTTCTTGGCCTTTAAAAGCCCCTGAATTTTACTCCCTAGCTGGACACTGCATTGTTACCCAAATCTGTGTGCCTTGAATTGCAACTCTTTAATCCCAAATAAAGGTTTCTGGTTGGATGACTGCCTCCTAGCTTCATGTAGGTGGACATAGTGCTGGTTATGCTAGTACATCCCCTGTAAAAACTCATTCAGCTGTACAATTAAGATCGAAAATTTTAGTGTATTAAATCCTATCTCAATTTGAAAAATAAACAGAATATTACCACCCCCTTGAGCATCCCTTGTGTCCCCTTCTAGTAACCACCCCCTCAAGGGCAGCCACTAACCTGGTTTCTAAAATCACAGAACAGGGTGTTTCTCTTGTGAGGGAGCAGGCGGCCTCACAGTTTCACTACGAAAATGAGGAACGCGTAGGAAACCTCAGCTATGAATTGACCCAGAGCTCTGGGGAAAAGCTTAAGCTTGTTCAGCATCATTCTGAAAGCCCTAAACACTCATAACATTTGACCTCTTCTGGAAAACAAGTTTGAGGAAGTGATCCTCAACCAGAAAACGTCATCACTGTGTTGCTTGTAGTGCTAAAAAAACAAAAAACAAAAAAACCAAAAAAACCCGAAGTGTCCAATAACTACAGAATGTCAAATAAATCAGAGTACACCTGACTTGAATATTAAAATGCCACTGAAAAGGATGTTTAGGAAACGTTTTAAAACAGCTTTATTCATCCCATTGTCAGAACTTGTAGAAGGCCAGTGTCTGTACAAACTGCTGAAGAGTTTCACGTGTCCCTTTGTTCCCATACTATAAATAGAAACGTCAGGGAAAAATGTAAATTAGCAGGCTCAAAGTGGAAAGAACCTGTCTGCCTCATATCCAGGTGTCATTAATAACAGTAAATTATTAACGCAAAAATAAAAAACTGTCTTTACTGAAGTATAATTTCTATGCCAGCTGTAAGAATCACCCGTTATAAGCATACACTTCGATGCTTTTTGAAAAATTAACCATTTTTAAAATAAATTTACAGAGTACTGCAACCATCACCAGAATTTCATCGCCCCCAAAAGACCCTTCACGTCCATTTGCAGCCTCAGCCCCAGGCAACCACTAATTTACTATCTAGCCTCTACCGGTTGCCTTTTCCAGACATGTGATATAAACAGAATCCTAGAGAATGCAGTCTTTTACATCCTTTCACCTTGCATAATGTTTTGGAGCTGTGTCTGCTTTATCGTGTAAGTCAGTGTTCCCTCGTACAGATAAACCACATCATCTTTATCCATTCACCCACTGATGAGCATTTGGGTTGTTTCCACCTGGAGGCCGTGATGAGTACCGCGGCTCTGAATAGTCACAGAAGTCTTGGGGTGCCCAGGTGTTTCCACTTCTCTTTGGGAGCTTCCTAGCAGGGGGCACTGCTGGGTACTACGCTAATTTTACGTTTGACTCTTTAAGAAATGGCCCAACTGTTTACCAAAGTGGCTGCGCCATTTCCCATCCCACCTGCGGTGTCTCGGGCTCGTTTGGGAAGCATCTGCAGTCACAGTGGAAGGTGTTTGTGTTGGCTTGTGAAGAGAATAAGATGGAGGAAAGCACCGCACACATACAAGAACTATCCAAAATGGGCAAATAACAAAGCACTCCACACAGAAAACAAAAAGCAGAAAGAAACAGCACAGGTTCTGCGTCTGCGATTTCAACCAAGCATGGACGGGAACAATGCGGGGGGGAAAAATTCCAGAAAGTTCCAAAAAGCAAAACTTGAATTTGCTGTGCCCTGGCAACTGCTGACACTGCATTTACGTTTACACTGTATTTACATAGCATTTGCACTGTGTTTGTAACTGCTGACACGGGCATTTACATTGCATCAGGTACAAGTAATTTAGAGACGATTTAAAGTATACAAAGGAGGCTGTGCATACGTTATATGCAAATACTACATTTTATACAAGGGACTTGCGCATCCACGAGTGTCTGTATCTGTGGGGGTTCCTGGAACGAATCCCCTGCGAATACAGAGGGATGACTATGCAGCAAAATCTTAGGGAACCAGGCCAGGAGGGGAGGAACGAGTCTCTTTCCCCTTTCATTTTTTTCACTTCTAGCTCCGGCAGCGTCCCTCACTGACTCCTCAGCCCCGTCCTGGAAGATACCCCAACCCCACCCGCGACTGTTAGTTTACCTCGTTCTAGAGTCTTCGCCCCCTTGGCCTGTTAGTAGCCACTCTCAGTAACTTATCCATAAGAAGAGGCTTGGGCAGCGTTCGAGCTAATCCCGCCTCGCGCACCAACACCTGAGCATTCGGAAAGCTGGTGAGACCGGCCTCCCGGGACAGCGCTGTGTGGAAGCCCACTCTCACCTCACCAGAACCCACCGTGGCCCTCACTCTACAGCTCCGCGGCGAACAGCGTCATCTCGCGAAAGCCCACCGTGGTCCTCAATTTAGCTCCGCGTGGGATGATGGGAAACTGACTCCCAACATCTCGCGAGAGTCCACTGTGGACTTCGCTTTCCAGCTTCGCGTGGGATGATGGCAAGCCGACTCTGATTATATCGCGAGAGCCCACTGTGGGCCTCAACTCCATATGGGATAATGGGAAACATCTCGCGAGACCCTATCATGGGTATCGCGTTCGAACTTCGCGTGGGATGATGAAAGCCGGCTGGTCATCTCGCGAAAGCTCGCCGGGGACCTGCTGTGGATCTTGCTTTCAAACTCGGCATGGGATGATGTCACATAATAGTTTGAAATCAGCCACGGCAGTGTTTACTCCGCATAAATTGGCAGATACCACAAGTCAAGTGTTTTGTTTTGTTCCAGGAGAACCGTTAAACACTGACCGGCACATTGCTCCTACAAGGCCTGGCGAGAATGAAATCTCAGGATCCAAAGAAGGGATGTTTTGTCTCTGATGAGGGCATGTGCCCATGGAGACCCTAAGAACATGAGTTCAAGTGCGAACAGCGAAGTAAAGAGCTACAGGGTGTGGGCTCTCCAGCTTGTGAAGGCACGTTAGCGGCAAATAAAGCTGGAGGATACGCAGGAGCCCAGATCTCTGGGGGGAGGAGCTGGGGGAGAGGTGGGGTCAAAAGACGCCTCTCCACTCGTTCCCTTAGGAGACACTGTAGTGGCCTCAAGTGACTCACAACCAGAATCCACTCTGCTACACGCCTGGGCAGCAGAGCCGAGCTTATGAATAGGCCTGACGTGAGGTGGTTGTCCTGGCCACTGCCCTGCCCCTCAACACTTCCCATCCAGCCCAGCCAGGTCAGTGGCTGCTTCCCAAGAATCACTCTCACCTTCAAGGCTCCAGGGGGAATCCTGAGCTGTCCTCAGCCTGGCTGTGGGCAGGCCCAGACGGCCATGGTATATGGGGGCAATGAGAGAGAGCTCCATTTCCGGCCTTCACTCCACGTGTCCTTCCCTTCAAAGGCATCAGGCCAGCCCCACTGACCCAGGGCCAGGAGCCAATCCTACCGGGGTGGCTTTGTCAAGCCTTAATTTAAGCATGTGTTCTTATCACTGCATTCCTGTCCAGATCTGAAACTCACACGTGCCTCATCAGCTGCTGTTGTAAGCCCATGAGAAGGCCCCAAATGTTCAGAATTCATGGGATAAAGTGTCAAGTCTTTCCTCAAGGGTGAAGGAGGCTGGTGAAATGAAAGGTAACCCCAAATCCAAGGATGGCTTGAAACAGTTTTCTATGTAGACAGGCTAGGTCTGCGTGGCCCTGTGGGGCCCTCAAGGCATCCCCTCTTACCCCTCAAGGTTCAGCCCTGACCCAGCAGCTAACCCTCATTCACCTGTCTCAAAGAAAAAAAAACCCAGGTCTTCATAGTGGCTTCTGAGGCCCCCGTGATCACCTGTCCCAACCTCTCCC